CATTTTAGTGAAATAAACTCAAGCAGACAGTGAAAGGGCTTCTGCAAATTGGGCATTGATGAGCAAGATGAAAGGAATTAGTCACTTTTATTCAAACACAATAGTTTCTCCACAGTTTTTGTGTTGCGTTTAACCAATCTTTTGGCTAAACCGACCTGCCTAATTTGTCAGCGTTTTTACCCATCTATATTTTTACCATGGCAAACCAATGCAAATTAGTCTCATTAGCCAAAATAATTAAGTATAATCACAAATTTTAAAAGTTGTTTTTTTTAGAAAAAGGTGTTATTTATTTTTTTTTTTTTTCCCACCATCAACCTCAGGAGTGGTAGTCATTGTCTTAGAGATGATGCCACAAACGTTTTTAACTGTTCAACGGAGAGCAATACTGCTTAACACCAACTCCGTCTAGTGGCTTGCTCAGATTTTGATCATTACATTGTTTATTCTAACCAAAATAGTTTTAAGAAACTAGATTGGTTGTTTTTCCAACCAATCTATTCTTAGAATCTATCCAAACTCAATCGAACTGACAGCAATTCTCCTACAAACTCCCACATCTTGACTGAATCCTGAGGCTGTTTAGATGCCTGTCAAAATTCTTGCACTTTCTGAACCACTTCCCGAAGCGGTCACATGGCATCACCCTAAATGAATAACGCCTCGACACGTGCTTCGGGGGAAACACCCCCTCCATTACTCGACACAGGCCTCGAAGCCTCGGCTCATCTCATAACATCACTATTAGAAAGGAGTTCCAGATTGGGTCTTTTTCTGGATAAATTACTGTTAAGCAGAAAGTTTCCTCTGCAGCCAAATCCAGGCAGGCAGTGAGCTAAAGCACCGCGCTGGGAGCTCACAGCTCTATGCTTAGCTCACAGCTCCTCAAAGGAGCAGGGACTGTCTGCAAAATGATTAAAGGGTTTTCACTTTAAGGATTATAATTGGAATACAAAGTCTTGTCTCATGTTATGAAAAATTGCAAACTTTAAATCTGCCCCTACTTGGCAGAAATGGTTCTTGCAAAATCCATCTCCTCTTCCATTCAGTGCGTGTGTGTGTGGGTGTGTGTGGGGGGTTCTTCATAAAAACAGTCCCTCCAAGTACCTTAATTTGTTCAAGACAAAAATTGTTTAAGAAAAGTTTAACATTATTTGGTTGTAATGAAGAGTGATCAGTAAAAGCATGCCTAGGATTCAAAAGGACATGTTTTTAGTGTTTTGTAGGCTGCTCAGTGGGTAGCACTTTAATGTACATTTTGTAGAGCAGCGGTCCCCAACCTTTCTTGCNACAGCAACATGACCAACATGTCATGCCTCCACTGTGGCTCCCGTCTGCTCCGCTCTGAGTTCCTTGGAGATCGTAGAGGGCATGTGTGAGATGATTAAGTTCAAAGCAGCAAAACATGCGGAAATGATCCAGGGTTTCCGCGGATCTTTAAAAATATTTCATTTCATTTTTTTTCCATTAATTTTTATAAATTTTTTTATTTTTCGGTGTAACAATAAACATATACCGAACCGAAAACCGTGAACACGAAACCGTGAACCTAACGGAACCCTGGATTTTGTGAACCGTTCCACCACTAAAAAAAAAAAAAAATATATATATATATATATATATATATACACACACACACACACGATATTAGTTTTTTGCCTGTGTCGAAAAAGTTCAGGCTCAACATTATTTTTTGCTTTAATCCCTGTGCACAGTGGCAGTTACTTATTTTTTATTTATTTTCTTTTGGTAATGTTTAAGCTAAGGACATTTCTTTCTGCTGCAATAGGTTCCAGACTTTATTTGGTCTTCCTAAAGAACGACCTATTGACCGGAACTGGGGTTAAACTGTGCTGCAGCAGCTTGTGGGTGACAGCATGAACTGGACAGCACTTGCCCAGAGAGAGAGGCAGCTTTGCAGCAAAGGCAAGTGTCTTTCTTCAAGCTTTGAAGTGTTAAATGTAAGCTCTGTGTTTACACCTTGAAGCTTTCCCTCTCTGGTTCATTTTCCTGAAAAGAGATCACTTGGGACAAGCTCTTTAACACTTCATAACTTATATGTATGAACACTAGGACTCCCAGAATTCTGATCCTGCTAGAACTCCCACTGGCCGCCAATTTGACAGATGACATTTTTTACAATTGAACGCATGAGTAGTGATGATGTCGTTAACTGGGATGATTCTAGTGTGCGATATAAAGCCATTGTGAATATGTAAACCTTAAAACAGGTCTAATATATATTTTTCAAAGGCTGTATTGTATGCTATTATTTGTGTTCTAAATTTAAATAAATCCATAGAGTAAGACTGTATTACTACTCAGGTTCAAAGTTTTAAATTAAAATTTTATTTACAGAAATTGATAGATTCCGCCCAAACATTTCCCGTAGACCCCCTTTTCACATTTATGACAAACATCATATGAGCGTTTTTTTATTTTGTGCGGCGCAGAATCTCCTGTCGATGTTTTCTGTGCCTTGCCAAAGCTTCTCTAAAGTTACAGAGGGGCTGGAAACCTGCGGTTTGCCCACAACTGTGTTACCAGTTCAAGGATAAAATTGTGAAAAAGCGACATTCAAACAGCTCCTGAAGAAAACCAACGCGTTTATAGCTGATACTTCCAGGAGATCATAAATTACAGCCACAGGCCACCTTCGTGTCGGAGCTTTTACACAATACTTTCTAATCATCTGATCCGACACATCCACCCCGACCTATGTGTGGTTATAGTGGAGCACGGGCTATGGTTTGGCTTTTGGGTGGCTCAGTGGACCGGCTGAGGTGTGGGCAGTGCTTGAACAAATGTTTTACTATTGTCTGATGGGTCACTGATACGTCTGCATTGATCTACCAATTCCCAGTAGCCACAGGGAGTAATATGCACAATTAAGGACTCATTTGATTTTTACAACCTTCACCTTCACCTTCCAGTGATTGATGAGGTCTGCAGTATCTAGAAGCACGGATTTAACTTGGGTCATTTGGTTTCTCTTTTATTCAATTTGTATAAAAATAAGTCAATGCAATGATTTAAATCACATATAATTAGTATTATTAAATTTAATAATGTCTGTGCTTCCTTTCAGGCTTTAAATAACTGCAGAGTCAGTGGTTTATGAAAAGCAACTCATAGATGGACTTTCTCTCTCTCTCTCAGATAGAGGCTCTTCACATACATACCAGCAGGGGGCAGCACCAGACCTGTTTCTCTAAGCAAGAGCGGAAGTGGCTGTACTACAAGTAAAACAACCTAATTATTTTTCATATTCTTACTCCACTGTGATATAAAATAGTTTCATAAACCAACGAAAGAGTGTATATTCTGCATATATACTCTGCTGGATTGTTGCTGTTTGAGGAGGAAAAGGAAAAAATTTAAGGAAACTAAAAAATGAACATGTGCTCTGGTCATGCAGCATTGCATTCTGGGTAATCTGACTATGTTTTAAAATTGAAAAAACTCACCACAAATCCCATTTTATACAACTCATCTAGTCCAATATACTTTCAGTGGTGTAGGATGGCAGCCAGCAGGCTTTATCTGGTCCTGCTAGTTAACGGGGTGTTGCTACCGTTAGTCACTGAAGTGTGTGTGTGAAATGAATCCCGGTGTGCGAGCTGAGCAACTCATACTTACCTGGCAGGGGAGATACCATGATCAAGAAGGTGGTTCACCCAGGGTGAGGCTCAGCCATTGCAC